AGAGTTGTGCACTGCCAATCTAGCATGCACAGGGAGCTTAAAAAAGTTCCCTAAATCTAAATTTAGATCCCTGTTTAAATTACAAAAAAAACCAAAAAAAACCCTCTTAAATACCACTAATCAGAACTGCCTATGCAATAATTTAAGTGGCAGCACCTAAGAACCCAATAGATAAGTCACAGAAAATTAATCACATCAGGTAGGTAAGGAAGTGCTTATCTGTCACCCATCCTAGCCCTGCCCTAAATTTAGCCACCCTATATTCCAGGATAAAAACTGTCCACCAAAGCTTCCCCAAGAGCTGACACTGCACTCCTTAGGGAGTTTGTAATGCAAACAAAGCAACACACAGGTTTTGCAAAAGCATTTTGAAAGTACAGCATCTTACCCAGAGGAGCAGCTAAGCATTTTGCACCTCTGTATTCAAAGCAGCAGCCAAGCTTTATGGAATTCCCAGCCTCCAATTCCTTGCAGCCACTGGCTCTGCTTCCAGCTGTGAATTAACTACTCTCCAACTCTGCACATCCTCCTCTTTCTGAAGAGGCTTCTTTTCTTAGGAAGAGTCACCCTTACTGGCGAATTTCCTTTCAGCATCAGTCTTTCACCAGTCCCATCTTTAGCTACAGCTTCCCCTGCTGTTTATAGGAATGACTGTGGGAAAAGAAAAAACCACAACAAAAACCAACAGATCCATACAAACAAGAAAACCCAAACAAAAACCTCACACACTTTTATATTCTGTGCACAGCCCTACGGAGAATGACCACCGACCTACAGGAAAGGAAATAACACCACAGACACCCCTGAAACACACCAGCAGCACACTCCGTGGGAACAGCCTGCAGGAAAACCAGTAAATGGCACTACAGAAATCCCAGCCACCCATTGTCACCAAACGTGGGCCAAGGGAAAGCACAGCGACACAACTGAGACCCTCCCGGTGAGCACAGCTCCCTCAAGGCAAAGTTAAGACTAAGCGTGGCCTTGTGATAAGCTAATAAACGATTAAAAAAAAAAAAAAAAAGAAAGCAAGCTTGCAGGCAGCTCCTGGTTTGTACTCGTCAGCCGAGCTGGCTGAAACAGCGGACAACTTCTGCAACACCGGTGTGCACAAACCCTGGGAACGGCTGGGAACAGGGAGAAGGGACGGGGCAAAGGGAGAGAGCCGACACAACACGCCGGCAACATTCGGGGTTTTGTGTAGCACCCTTGCTATATTCACACATGCTCTCGGTACGTTTATTTAGGTGTTTGCCGCAGCAAAGGCAGCTGGATGGCTCCCAAGCCTTGGTGCTCCCGGGCCCTTCTGCATCCAGCGGGACGCTCCCATGGGAATGCGGGAGCACCGGGGCCAGCCCGACCGGGGGCTGCCCTCCCGCGGAGGCGTCTCCCGCCGGAGAACAACGCAATAATCAGGCTGGCGTCGCTGCCGTTTATGGGAGCGACACCAAAGAGCGACCGGGGCAGTTCCCCGCCGGGGCGGGGGTCGGCCGCTCTGCCAACTCCCACGGCCCGGCCCGGCCCCCGCACCCCCCGCGCAGGCCCCGCCCGCCCGGGCACTCACCGAGGAGCGGCCCCGCGCTCACATGGCGGCCAGCAGCCGCCCGCCGCCCGCTCACAGCCCGGACCCCGCGGCCGCCGCGGCCCCGGAAGCGCTGTGGAAACACTGGCGGGTCACGGGGCGGCAGCGGGCGGAACCACCGCTCCTGCGGCGGGGGGGCGGGGCGAACCATTCGAACGGGGGGGGGCGGGATGAACCATTGCGGAGGGGGCGCGCGGGCCGTACCACTGCGGAGCCGCGGGAGGAGCGGGCCGCACCGCTCGGTCCCCGCGCGCAGCGCCGGTCCCGCTCCGGGCGCTTCCGGCCGCTCCAGGGAAACAGGGTTGGCAGGGATGGCCGCATCCCTCCGCCGGCGCCTCCAGGCTTTGTGGGGGGAAAGCGGCGAGCAAAGGCCACCGTGCTGCGAGGCCAGCGCGGGGCTGCGCTCGCGGGACGCTCCGTTCCGCGCCTCTCGGGGCTGGGAGCATCCTCGCGCAGCCCGGTCCGGTCCGTGCGGTCCGTGAGCACACGGATCAGCGCTGGATACCTCTCGCAGACCGCTGCGGTTTTTTTTCCCCTCTAACTGCTGTCGGCTGGGCCCGACCCAAATGTTCCCGTGGCGCTGGGTGAGCGCACGCACGTAGAGGAGGAAGGGCTGGCTTCGCGCTGTTCCGTGCGGCTCGGCCCGGGCTGTCCTCGGCTGTCCGCCGGCGAGGGGAGCGCAGCCCAGGCTCCGCTTGCAGGCGGACGTGACCCAGCGCTAACGTGCGTGTCCTCGCAGACACTCGGGGCATTGTCAGCAATCAGCCGGGTACCGGGGAGAGAACGAGCTCCTTTTCCAGAGAACACAGAGCGGGACAAAACCTGTGCCAGCCCTGCTGCTGCCTGCCTGCTCGAGGCCTGAAAGAGGGGCGAAGCGGGCAGGACCAGGGCGGAACCCCTGGCGATGCCCCAGCCGGTGGGCACGCACTGCCTCGTGTTGGAAATCTCGCTGGCAAGATCTGCGCTGCAGAGAGGCAACTTCTTATTTGCACCTCAGCTCACGCGGGGTTTGCCAGCCTCCAGGAATGAGACTGGGGGCATGTTCCCCCATTTGGATTCCTCCCCGAGCCCATGGGCGCAGCACCGAGGCGGGCACGGAGGGCAGCCCGTGACGCTCTCCCGCCATCCGCGAATGCGCTTCCCTGTCACTGCACACACACATCGTGGCTCTGGCACCGCCGCGGGGACTGCAAGCCAGCTGGGAACAAAGGGAAGAGCTGCAGGGCTGGCATAAGCGGGAGCTCTCCCCGCAACAGCACCGGCCGTGTCAGCAGGACATTTCATCCCAGAGATTAAGGGCTGAGCCACGAACTTGTTTGGAGCTGGAGGGGAGCGGGGGCTGAGGCAAACCCAGCAGCGCTGTAGCGAAGCCCTTGGGCCCAGGGCCTTGCCAATAGTAACCATCCCGTGGGCCGGGCGGTCTCGCCGTTGCTTTAAACACTCGGACGGTGGCACCTCCAGAGCGAGGGCTCGGTACACCCTTGGCTCGGGCTGCAGGAGAGCGCTTGGCCCCCAGCAGCGCATGCTGTGCCCGCCGTGCGCCCGGCTGGCTGCGCGCCGCCCTGCTCCGTGCTGCGCGCTTTAACACCGCGGCCAGGGAGCTCCGGGCAGCAGCCAGAGCTGGCAGCCAGCTGTGCAAGCGCCGCTTCAAAACACACTCAGTCCCTGTGTGCTTGCAGTCAGGAGAAGGATTGAAGGATTTTTTTTTTTTTTAAGTAAAACCTGGAATGTATAGTACTGCCTAGAAGAAGAGGGACTTGGTGGAGCACAGGAGCCAGTGGCACGTGTGTCCCTGTAGAGCAGCTGGCAGAAGCAGCAGTGCTGCTAGGGAGGTGTCAGGGCAGTACCCAGCCATGTTACTTCCCACAAAAATACCTGTTTTATAAAAATGAGTATTTTCCATGGCTGTGCCTTCTTTTGTGTTGGCTCATGCCCGGAGGGTGGAGGGGTCGGTGTGCTCCGCAGACGATTTCTCTCCAATCCAGGCACCAGCCTTGTGCTGGGGAAGATGTAAAATACGTGACTTTTCCCCTAGGGCTGCTGGGTGAAAACAAAAAACCCCCACACAGCATGCACACAAAATGACAACAGAGACAGCCTGTCATTGTGCGGGCTGTCACGCAGAAGAGGGGCTGTCCCCCCATCCCCCCTCCACACCGGCAATGGGAGAGCAGAGCCACGGATGAGTGTTAAAGCGCTCCAGCAGAACATGGAAGGAAATCCTTTCGATGTGGAATTGCCACCGGCTATCAGGGAACCCGCGCTGGGGTTTGCTTCCAAATCTTGCTCCAGATTGCAAAACACCCGTCGGAGCCGGGACAGCTGATGCCGAGGGAATTTTCAGAAGGGATGTAGAGCTCGTGCCTTTTGCCGGACAGCGTGCATTGTCAGTTCGCCAGGGATGAGGCGTGTGGCTGCTGTTTGGCCCCATCCGCACCCGAAGTGTTTTGTCTTGCCCAAGCAGTCTGAATGAACCGGGGGTCACAACAATCGTGCCCGCTCCCCCGGGCGCGCTCTGCTTTCCGATCTGTTCGATCTGTTCGAGGAGGGCGAGTGTGTAATTGCATTGTCAGTTCGCCAGGGATGAGGCGTGTGGCTGCTGTTTGGTCAGCGGCCCCATCCGCACCCGAAGTGTTTTGTCTTGCCCAAGCAGTCTGAATGAACCGGGGGTCACAACAATCGTGCCCGCTCCCCCGTGCTCTGCTTTCGATCTGTTCGAGGAGGGCGTGTGTGTGACTTCGGGCAGATGGGAGCCAGCCTGCAGACTCGACGCCTGGCTCTCTGAATCTCCAAACAAGACTTTTCCCACTACGGGACGTCGCTGCGCCCATCCATAAAGCGCTGTCTTTGGTGCTTGGCAAATCCTCCTTGAGGTGCACTAAAATTTTCAGCATTCCAGCTGTTTGCTTGGCTGCGGCTTGTAGAGTGATGGGCGGGAGCGAGCTCACCCCATGAGATGAGCACTGTTACACTGAGGATGTACAGAAAACCTCCAACTGCACGTCCCTTTTTTTTGGGAAGTTGCTGGAAGCAGACTCCCGGGGCCGAGGGAGCACCTCCACCCCCTGGCCCTGCGAGGGGCACTCGGGTTCGCCACACGCCCAACCCAACGGAGAACAGCGGAGGGGGGAAAACATACAAAAAACTAATGTGACACCGTGACATTTGATGCAGCGAAAGGAGAGGCGGCGGTGGCGGGGGCGGCCGGGGACATCCCGGCTCTCCCCCCGCCCCTGCCCCGTCCCTCCCGCACCGCCTACGTGCGCCCCGACACTGCCCTGATGGCACGGCCCCGCCGGGCCGTACCATGGGCCGGGCTCCGGCGGGGGCGGAAAGGGGACGGAGGGGAAAGGGGGAGACGAGTGGCGGGGCCATGGGGGTCCAGTGGGGAAGGGGCTCCTCGCGGGCGGCGGCGGGAAGTTGGCGGCGGCGGCGGCGGCGGGAGCGCAGGTGAGCGGCGGCCGCGCCGGGAGGGATCCCGCGTTCCGGAGCTGCGGGGCGCCGCCGACCCCGGGGCCGCACGGGCCAGCCTGTCCCGGGGGTGGGAGCGCGGAGCTGCAGCTCCACGCGCCGCGGAGCCCGGGCACGGCGCGGCTCCCCCCTCCCGCGCCCCATCCTTCGCGCTGCCCGGTGTCGCCCATGCTGCAGACGGGCCCCGCCGCCCCCCCGTCACCCTCCAGGAGCAGGTGAGCCACTGACTAACGCACATTGTGCTCTCGGCGACTCCACTGTGCGTGTGACAGCGGCTAACCTGCTCCTCGGACATCACTGTGCGGCCGCCTCGCCTCCCCGGACCCGCGCCTCGAAGCCTCGACGCCCTCCTGCCCTCTCGGCCAGCCAGGTGAGGGGCTCCGGCGTGCCAGGGAGTCGGCTCCCCCATCCGTCGCCACTGTCCTGCCTCCAGCGGTTCCCACGCTCGGCTCTGCGGACCCCCGAGGCGCTCGCTGTGCCCCAGCATCGGCCGCAGTCGGGGAGCGGGGAAAGGTTGAACGCTCCTGCGGCGGGCTCGGTGTGTCCGGCGGGAGCGGAGATGGAGGGAACGGGCCGCGTCGGCGTGTGGGTGCGGATAGTTGGTGGTAAAGTTGTTCAGGAGGGATGGCGTGCCCCGCTCTGTTCTCTTGCTCTTCTCCAAAGTAAATAAGTGCTAGCGGACTCCGTACCAAGTTAGAGACGCATCATCCCGGCCGGTGACGTCTTGAGACCCGGTCCGTGACTAACCGAACTGCTATTGCCAAGGGTGTGTTAACAGAAGAAACTCTGCCTAGTATTGCCCTGGATGAGTCACATTTAAAGAGAGACTCTCTAGTCTGTTAAAGGAAAAGCAGAAATGAGCCTCACTTTCCTTTTTTGTTGCTGGTTTTTTTTCCATCCCACCCCTCACCTTTGCTGGTTGTTTACTTCATCTTGTGCCAGGGCTCCGTTGGCATCCCGGCCCTGGCTGGGCATTTGCAGAGCTGCCTTGCCCAATGTGCTGTGATGTCACGCAGGGGACTCTGACTTCATGGCCCCGAGGAACAGGAAGGCGAGCCAGGCAGGGACTTTTCCAGCCACCCACGGTGGCTGTCACTAAAAACGGAGGAAGTGACGAAGCAGATGGCTTCTCCTACAAAGTTATCTCTTGTGATTTTTCGGCTGGTGAAGAAGCTGGGTAGTCGAGTGTATTTTCTGAAGAGCAGCACAGCTTCATTGTCAGCTGAAGTTCCTAATAAGCAGCTAGGATTCACCACAGCTGCTGAGGTCCCTGGAAGGGCTCAGGTATTCCCCCTGTTCCTGGGGCTGCTCTCGTGTAGCCCTGGGCTGTTGTAAAGGCTTGGTCTGAAGGAACTGGCAGTGCTCTGGTCAATAAGTAGTTAATTGCACAGAAGGCAGAGCAAGGTCCTCTGTTGGTAAAGTGTCTCTCTGAGAAGTTTTGCCTGTCCCTATCTCTCCTTCATGCTCTTATCATTTCTGCCTCTGGGTCCCAGAGGAACATATTCTCTTCACAAGAAAACTCAGCTCCCTCTGTGCTCTGTGTTTCCGTAGTGCTCAAACAGAGAAGATGGGAAACCGACCAAAGTTATCCAAGATGCTTTCATGTTTGTTCAGAAGCCGAATGGGCCTTTTTTTTTTTTTAACGGAGACAGGGTTGGGGGGCAGACAAGTTTGCAGCTGTCTCAGCCCTGGATTGCTTTTTCCTTCCCTAACTGCACCTACAGCATCTTCCCACTGCTGGTCCCGAGCATGCAGGAGCACGGTGTAGCCACACAGAGAACGGGAGCGAGGGAAACCTGGTGCAAAATCCTTGTGTGTACAAGTGTGTCTGAGAGCTGAAACTGAAGGCCACAGTCCCCCTGCCACCCCATTTTATAGGTGACCATGCAAGTAACAAACCTGTGTCTGGAAATAAAGGTGCTTTGTTTCTCTTTGAATGAACAGCCCTGCATTTGGGACTGTGCTGGCTGCTGAGTTAACCCCGGGAGATGCCGCTGGCAGGAGCAGCTCTGCAGGTCGCCTGGCAAGGCCTGTCCCAGTTCCCATGAGCAGCACTATGGTGTGAATGCTTCCGACTTCCTGCTACCGATGGACCCATCCTGTTCAGCTCCAGTAAGCAAAAGGAAGGGCTTGAAGTGAAGTTGGTTTGGCTTTGCCTTTTTCGTGTGTATCTCCAGTAAGTGGGGGGAGCATCCAGATCAGTTCCTGTTTTTAACATTCTTCTGGCATGATTCAAAACTAACCTGCTGTGCTGTCACCTGAAGTCTTCAATAAATGTGCAAAACCAGTGTTTGAGTGCTGATTACTGTAATCCAGGGCATCAGACCAGGTGAAGAGGAAAGCTGTGCCTTCTCAGTGATGTGTCTGATTGCACTGCATGCCTGGTTCCTTCCATCTCTTATTTTGCCTCTGTGGCCAGTGAAGGTGGCTTGAAAAGGAGAGCAGAAGGGTGTGACATGGTTGTCCCTCAAGCAGAAAGCCCAGCATCAGCCCTTCTGTCCTGGCCTAGCTGCAGGGTGCTCCTGAGTGATGAGAAAATACACCAGGGCTGTGATGCCCCTTGATTTCATGTTTTTCAGTAGCTAACAAAGAGATTTGTAAGATGGTACTTAGCTTGGTTAGAAGAGTAGTTGTGTGCTTTCACTCCAAACTGTGAGATTTTTGGTGAGAGGCAGGGGAGTGTCTTACACGTGGGGAAGATGCTGAATTTCAGGCCTGTTGAGCTGAAGGGACTCTTTGTGCTCTTCAAAGATTTTGTTCTTGTTTCAGCTCTTCCTGAAGGGAAGGGAAACAGGCCTTACCCTTCAAGCACCACACTAAGAAGTGTCTGTTGTGTTCTATCCATAACATGTCCCAGTGTCAGGTGAGCCCCACCGAAGGCACAAGCTGCTCTGTGAGGAATAGAAGGAGTACATGAATTGTTTAAGAGGAAGCCTGTTAGTTAAATGCAAGCAGGGACTTATATAATACATCCTAAAAAAAAAAAAGAAAACTCTGCTGGCAGGAGGTTCCATTGGGAGAGAAACTTGCTCATCCATAAACAAGAAAATTTCCCAGCCTCCTCCAGTGCTTTATGATTTTTTTTTCCAGGGCAAGGTAGAATGCAGTCTGCACTCTGAGACGGAGAAAGAAAAATCATCATAGGAGAGCAGACAATGTTCCCTGCATGGACACACACGCCAGTTCAAACAGCTCTTCTCCATCTGCAGTGAACTATGCTGGGAGAAGCTGTGCAGCCAGGAGCAAGCAGCAGAGCATCTGTACACCACTTGGGGAGCAAAACCAACAGGCATTTTCTCCTCCAGACATTCACACCTTTCCTTATGTAACTGGTGCTGAAGTGTGTGCTTTAAAAGCTGCTTGCCAAATCCAGGGGCTGGGAGGCAGCACAAATGCTTCTAGCACTCTAGATGAAATTGAGGGGGAAAAAAACCCCAAACCCAAACACCCAGGAACTTGTACAAATACGTAACTGCAACTTGGGGATGGTTCAAGTGTCTACAGCAGTGTTATCCTGAAGAAACTGCACTGGCCTGGAGCAGTGCTGGCACCCAGACCACCATCTGATGAGGATGGTGAGGAGCTCACTGTCCAGGATAGAGGGGTGAGGAGCTGGGGGCCATTTTTCTTACACAATAGTAAAAAAACAAAAACCAAAAAATCTAAAAAAAAAAAAAAAAAAAAAAACCACATAGTGCAGCCAGGAAAAGGGTGCCAGGGAGGCTGGAGGTGGCTGAAATACTCTTCTGAATGGTGCCTTGTGCTGGCAGAACCTGCAGATTTATTAAAAAAAAAAAAGCCAACAAAAATGCAGGACTGCTCACTAGTGAAAAACAGGTACATCCTTCACTTTGTGATTTTTTGGGTGGCACTAGAGCTAGCCAGGAGAAGCATCTGAGGAGAGAGAAGCTCTGAAGTCCATTCCTGCCCACTCCAGGGAAGGAAGAAGCTGCCCACAGTGCCTGAGGGACATGGGGACACGAGTCCCTGCGCAGCCAGGCACAGCATCCTCGAGCCACCCTGCATGCTGGGATCCCTGCCTTGCCCACGAGCCAGTTGTTCCCTCTCCAGTACGCGCCGTACGCAGGGCTTTTGGTTTGTTTTTTAAGGGAAAAAACAATAATTTATTTGCTTTGTTTTAATCTCATAACAATGGGTAATGGTAATTTCTTCCTACCACTCTGTAGTGGCCTAGAAAAGGACAGCATCATCTCCACTGTAGCAAGAAGGCTTGTCCCAGGGCATAAAATTTTAATTAGGAACAATCACGCAGCCTTGAAATGGGAATTGCGAGCAGCAAAAAAAGTCAAACCATCAATAAAATATTCAATGGCAGAAATGTATTATTGACACAGACTTTAGAGCAGCTAAAAGCGGGAAGGCGGGGGAGCGGGTATTGAGCCTCGCTGCGTTAAATAACAGCGGGGCCCCGCCCGCCCGGCCGGCACAGGCCCCCCGAGCCGGCAGGAATATAGGTCACCCTCGGTGGGGAGCTCCCCAGGTAACACAGGAGTTTGATTACCACCTCTGCCCCACGTGCACCACAGCAGGGAGAGAGTAATCAAAGCAGTTCATTACCTCGTGAAACACTGCTGGCCTAGGCAGCAGCTGGGTGATGGTGGGTAGGTCACAAAATGAAGAAAATCTGCAAAGAGCCAGTCTTGAGCTGCAAAGAGTTAGCCCCTGGTCACAGTCCTCTCACTAGTCCCATGCCTGGTTATCAGTGGGGGACACAATTGATTTACTCTGTCTCCCACCCATGCAACAGTTCCAAATCCCACATGCCAGCCAAGGGGCATCAGCTGAAGGACCAAATCTGCTGTGATATATATTTTAAATCCTTATTTTCCACACCCTCCCACACCTCCTTCTAGGAAAGACTGGTGCTGGTTTGGCATGTTATGATTATGACTGAACCGACAAAACTGATAAATAATATATAATTGTAACAGAGGTGAAAAAATCCCCTAGACATTCAAATTAATTTTCTGCCCCCATGTGAAAGTACCATAGGTGATGACCCTTTTCCTGTTTATTTTGCAGAAGGCAAGGCTACAAATGTAACCCAAAAAATGAAAGATCCAGTTTTAAACCTGAAGAGGTCAGTTTTTTGGGATACGTAAAGGATGTCCCGTGACACACTGAAATCTGGCCATGTCCAAGGCAAGTGGGTTTTCTAAAACTGCTTTTCCTTCCGCTCCCCAAGCAGCACTGAAATGCTCTTTACAATGTCCATCACCCACTTCTTAGCAAGGCAGAATCTTTAAAAGCAAGAGTCCAAAAAAAAAAGGACATGAAGCCCAAAAAGCAAACAAGCAGGGAGAAACCAAATGCAGCTGCATGGAACAAACACATTTTTAACTAGTTTTCCTTAAGATACACGATTTAAGGAGGAGGGTGAGGAGGAGCTTGAAAAGCAACCCACCCAAAAAGCCCCAATTCAAAAAAGGCAGCTTTGAAACTGCATCTCCCCACTGTGGCAGCTCTCCAGTCATAACCTAAGACACAGCAGTACCAGTGGATCTCCCAAAAAACCAAACTTTAATCCTTTAATATTACTTGATCAGCCTGCTGGGCTGTGGTGGCACCTAGAAAATCAGCTTTGAGAAGGGAAGATGTCCCCAGGGACAAGAGCCAAGCAGAAGCTCAGGGGAGATGGTGATGGACAGCAAGAGCTGACATTCCTGGCTGCTGTTATCCAGGTGCAGACAAAGGGGCTTGGAGGCAAATAGGAAATTTCCCCTTACCTGGCTCATGTCTGCAGCTGGTGCCACCCCCTTTGCCTCCTGTCCTAAAATGCTCTGAGCTGCTGCTGTGCATTATTAAAATGTTGCCATGTTTCATCCCAGAGATGGCTGCATCTCACTGGAGACATCCCCTGGTTGTAAAGCACTTCACGATTAAAAAAAAAAGGGAAAAAAAAAAAAGAAAAGAGCACTGTGTGCATAGGAGTCAGTCGGTTATAAAATACTCACAGCTTTAATTCGGCAAATAGAAAGAGATGGCTTGGAAATGGAAGAGGCAGCTGCGGGGTGCGCAAAGCGCTCGGACGCGTCCGTCAGGCGCCGGCAGGGACGGCTCACCCTGGCCACAACAGCACACTCACACTCGCTTTGCTCAAATCCTTTCCCAAAGATTTATTGAAAATTGCATCTGCGGCGCACAGGATTTACATTCGCACAGGGGAAGCGGGGTTTTACGGGGAACGCTGTGCCCAAGTCACATTTTTCGCGTATGACACGTTGAAAACAGGCTCAGGGATCTCCCAGACAAACTCATCCCCTCCCCAAACCGCTTTGGTTTTGCAATTAAAATACAAGGTGACCCACCGCAACAGATGAACAGAATGGTAACTACTGGCCATCGAGTTAAAAAAATTAAAAGTATCAGGGAAATGTCACCAAGAGTATTTTGGTCCTGTTCCCCACTCACACCACCACCAGGGAAGGGCTCATTCTGCAATTTTTTACTTTAAAAATAAGTTGAAAGATTAAATGAATTTAAGAAAAACAACTCCTGCTGTGTGCTTCCTTGAAGCATGGTCTGTGGCACCATAGAAAGTGGTTTCTCCTACAGGTTTCTTATAATATGCACAAAAAAAAGACAGGCCAGAAATTTGTCTTAAAACTGCTTTGGGCCTCCCCTGCCACCAGTGAAGAGGCTGTTTGTCATGGCCCCACTTGCAGTGACGAGTTGATGTAAAATCTGTTAACTTGCTCCATCCAGGTGAGCCTCCACGTGGGTCTCCACTGCAGCTTCGCTCCCCTAGTCAAAGGAGCAATGACTTTTCCAAATGCATGATGGATCTTTTCAGGAGGCTATGCAGAATGGGTGCACTGCTGTTTTCTGTTCAATATAGAAACTGCTTAAAAAAAAAATAGAAGGGAGTAGTTTTCATCCTCAGGGGAGGCAGGTTGCTTTGTGAGATCAGTCTCTAGTTTTACTTTACAGTCTGTAAAAATATTCTGTCTGGCCATCCACATCCATTCACAATATAAAGCAGTAAAAAAAATATAAAATATATATATATATAATATGGTTTATTTATACAGTTACACTTTGAAGGCAATTGATTTTCCACTGCCTGGGCCCTTCTACCTCCAGATGCTCTGCCTGGTTGATACAACTGCAAGACAAGAGAAAAAAAAAAAACACCTGAGCAATCCCACCATGGTGGGTGAGCACTTGCAAAAAGGAGAGTGGAAAACAGGATGTACGTGAGCATAAAGCCTGGACCAGGAGATGGGAATGCGGTTGCTGCAGTGTCCTGAAGGATGGGTGGATGTATTGGGCTGTGTGGAGGATGGCAACAGGGTTTTGCTGAGGTAAAAGTGGCACGGGTGGGAGTAGGATGCCAGGGTGGAGGCAGCATCACCACAGCAGGTAGGTGTCCCTACCACAGCTCTCTTTTGCTGCACCCAAAAAACAGGTGCAAGGGGACAAAAGAGTCACGGGGGGTAGAAAAGGTTTTGGCATGAACTGGTCACTAAGATGGAATAAAAGTAGCTCTTGTAAAAGACAGGAGGCAAGTCCTCCTCATCCTAACTGAGCAAGATCTTAACCCTGGGGGATACAGAGTGGCAGGACAGGGGATGAGAACCATCCTCCACAGCTCCTGGCAGGGCAGAGAGCCAGGCTGCCAGTGTGTGAGCCCCTGGCAGCACAGCAGAGACTGCCGGAGTGTGAGCTTTGCGCTTCCTAATGGCATCTATAAATAGCTCTGGCCTCCCACCACAGCACACGCTTGCTCTCTGCAGCCCATTTTGGGCAGCAAAAGCCTCTCCCCTCTTCCCACCCATCCTCTGCAGAGCGGCTCACCCTCCCGGGGCCCCGCTGGGACATACGCACCCTCGGGGTTCAGGCTGGACACCAGGGGCTCCGGCAGGGTCCTGGGATGGCCGAGGAGCTGCTTGGTGCTGACCTGGGGAGGCAAGTCTGTACCAGCGGTGGGAGAAAAACCTACAGGATGGGGAAAAACATCCAGCTCAGGCAGGGCTCAAGCCTCCCAGGCTTGCTGGGCACAGCCACTGCAGTGCCGCAGGGCAGTCATGTCACCCGCTCCGGGTGCTCCAGAGGAGAAATGACCAGGTTCCTTTCCATGAGAACCCCCCCTGCTGCCTCCTCTCATGGCTGTGAGGATGCAGACAAGGCCCTGGACACCACCCTTCCCTCGCCAAACACAGAAAGGTCATTTGTGGCCAGAGGATGTCCCCACCAGCCCACAGCCCCCGGGGACTGATGCTGGCCTTCAGCCACCTGCCTTCTGCTGCAGCCGCTGTGGTGACATGAGCAAGGCAGTAAAGGAAACCTCCCCGCAGCCACCTCGGCCCCAAAAAGCAGCAATGCAGGATCTGACTCCCGTGCATGTCTACGAGCAGCCCCCAGGCTTCAATGGGGAGGAGGAAGGAGCCCCAGGGGTGACAAATCTCTGAAACCCCATGGAGTGCTGAGCAAGTGCCACGCCAGCACACAAACCCCCACCTGCCTAATCTCGGTGCCCAGGGGAGAACTGGTCAGCTTTGGGGCTGACCCCTCAGAGAGGAGGCAGGGAGCGGGCAGGGGTCCCGCGGAGCAGCCCCCGCGGCCGAGCCAGCGGCAGCGTGCTGACCTCCGTTTCTCCGGTAGGCTGGCAGCTCGCACGGGCTCGGCTCTGGCTGGGCGTCCTCCTCGGACCTGGCCTGCAGGACGGTCACCGTGGCCCCCGTCTGCTGAATAAACTGCTGCAAATTACACTGCCTCAGCTCCTTATTTAACTCCTCCAGCTCTTGGGTCTGGGCCTGCAAAACACACACCGAGGGGGGGACAGGGTGAGCCGCATGTTCCCCCCGTGCCCCAAGCCAGCCGGCAATCATCCGCTGGGGCTGCTCCCCTGGCGGTGCCAGCAGAGGGAACCTCAGGGCTACTGAGGTTCAGCCGCCCCTCTCTGAGCGCCTGCAGGAAGGGAGGTGCCCAGGCAACGGGGACGAGGAAGACGCTGGTGTGGGAACAGCCCTGCTCTGCTGCATCTCCACAAGAGGGTGCGAGCAGCCATCAAACGGCGGCCGCCGCCGCGCTGGGAGATGCCAAATGCAAATGAGATGCTCAAGGAAAGATGCTGAAAGCATGGACAGCCTGGGGAAGGCTTGGCTGGAAAAAAGCTTCCCCATTTTGCTCCAAAGGGGACATGGTGGGTAGAAGGTGGGAATCATGCAGCCCCTTGGCCCCTGATGCTGGGAGGCTGCAACAGGAGAGCTGGGGGTACATCACAGCTCATCCCCAGAGCTGCCATCTCCACACTGCGCAACCCCCCACCATGAATCCAAGCCCTGCATGGTCAAAAGACCTTGTGCACAGGCACCACAGGAGATCTGTGCTATGCCCTTTGTGATTCCTTCATCCAAGATGACATCGGCCCTTGTGCCAATGCCACCAACCCCACACGTAGACCGCTTGCTCCAGCACTATTGCCTGTGTTGGAGCGAGGTGATGCTGTGCTCCCGGAGCACCAGTCAGAAGAAGCATTAGCCCAGACATAGCTTG